ACAATTACAGGTGAGCGATTCAGGCTCTTGAGAGCCTCTTGTTAAGAATGTATTTTGATTTTTATATGTATAATATCTGTTTACTTCATGCACTTTGTAACTGTTTTATTTGTTTAAATGTTACACTGAACTATACATGTAAATGGTTGTGAACTGACTACATGTGTAAATATCTGTTTTATGTTTGCTTGTTATCTTTTATTATCTTTTTTTTTTACTTGTATTGTATACGAGGGCTTCAGGGAAGATTAGTTATTGTAACTAACTGTGTTTACCCTCTTAAATAAAGAATTTATTATTATTCTTATTATTATGATTAAACCAAACTTGGCCTCAATCATTATTAGGGTATTTTTCATGATAATCACATGACTTCCATAAACCATAGTAGACTGTGAGCGAAACAGGCTCTTGGGAGCCTATAGTTAAGTTTCCATAATAACAATAAAAGCACATGTTATCATATGAAGATGTTTTTTTCAATTGAAGCATACAGCTGTTATGAATGCAGTTTATTCAATTTTCAGTATGATTTAGTTAATGCCATTAACAATGTGATTGCAGAATCACCCATTTTTTTTTCTAAAGGTACAAATTAAACATTTATTCAACTCCTTTAGTCATAAGATGAGAACAAAATGATTACATTTTTTTCTCAATTGAAACAGGGCTACTGGTATTTTGTTTTATCATTTGTATATTTTTAAATATGTTAGGGCATAACAATGAGAAATGGGACAGTACATTATAATGGCTACACATGGATGCTATATAATATTTATGTAAGATTATTTCAGCTTTATAAATGATATCTTATTACAAAATGATTATTCATTTTGTCTGTTTAATTTCATCTATTCCAAACAGCATGCAAGTGAGGACATTTCATTACTCTAATGTTTGCTTATAACCTTGTTCTATCCCTGTCTTGAAAAAAGAACGGGAGGGCAGTTGTCTGACAAACTTGAAGACTTTAAATTTCCAAATGCACTGTCAATTTTGTGACTCCAGATAACAAAATTTATGCGGCAACAGCGTATATGGTCTTTATTCTAAGCTTACACATAAGCTATTGTAACTATTGCTTCAGGTTCCTGGGATATTTGTGATTATCTTAGAAGTGTTGCGCAGCAAGAACTGTGTGGGAGAGAATGCAAACAAAATACAGCTTGTTATCTCTAGACAGCATATTTGGAAAACTCATTGTTTACTTTGTCTTTTTTTCTTATAGAGAAAACAATGTGTAAATATTTAGATCATCTATTACTATATATTACAATATAATATAGTATTTATCTAGTGTATCTCCATTTTTTTCTCTATATTTTTGAACTTTTTTTTTAAAATTTATATAATTACATGAAAATATATGTGTCTCTCAGTTGTTTTTAACTAGCATATAATAATTGTATCGAACGTGACAGGTAATCTGGGGAGTCAAATTTTGCTATACTGTTGTGGTGTACCCAATCACCGTGACTTTGAATATGGCATAGAATAAAAGGCAGTGGCTATTTTGCCGGCTCTGATTTAAATTTCTTAATTAAAGCCGACAAAATAGTGTATTTCTATAGCAATGGCTATTTTGCCGTTTCAAGTTAAGCGGAAGCCAATATTGTCAAGAAAAATTGTTGTTAACAGATATGCTATTCAAAGAACATTTTTAATTCCAAAGCAAATTTTATTTTATTTTGTACCTTTGTGGTTGATTTTGTTAGATTGTGTGTTTATCAAATTTATGCAGGTTATAATTACTCAAATGGGATATGAATTTTGGCAAAAAAAAAATTTTTTTTTGGGGGGGGGGGGGGTTAAGGGAAAATATTAAAAAATGCAAATGATAACCCAAAAGGCAACAACTTTCTGTTAGCAACTTTTCTGAATTCCTGATTGTTTATGAGTTGGTCCATTTAAAAATGCTGTTTTTAATGTGTATGTAGCACCAGCTTGTGATTATTTAGAAGTATTGCAAATATTGTTACTGATATCTTATTTAACTCTATGATTAAAAGTTTGATTCTTTTATGTTGACAATGCACATTTTTGTAGCACTTTTCAACAATCGACAAATTCACTATAATGCTGATGCCGGCAAAATAGCCATTGGAGGGTTGAGATCTCACAAAGCATGTTTAACCCCGCCGCATTTTTGCGCCTGTCCCAAGTCAGGAGTCTCTGGCCTACGTAAGTCTTGTATGATTTTTAATTTTAGTTCATTTATATGCTTTGGAGTTTAGTATGACGTCCATTATCACTGAACTAGTACACATTTTTGTTTAGGGGCCAGCTGAAGCACGCCTCCGGGTGCGGGATTTTCTCGCTGTGTTGAAGACCTATTGGTGGCCTTCAGCTGTTTTCTGCTCTCTGGTCGGGTTGTTGTCTCTTTGACACATTCCCCATTTCCATTCTCAATTTTATTCTATGAAATCTTAATCAGGGCTAGCAAAATAGCATATTTTCTAATTTGCCGGTGCAGGCAATAGAGCCACTGCCAAAATAAAACAAGTGTTATAATATCAAAGAAGCCAGAATTTTCACTTATATTTAATTCATATCTGTGAAGTTTTAGTCTGCATGTCTTAAAAAACTAGATTATTGTTTGTAAAGAAATACAATGTATGAATATTGACTGAATTTAAATGAGGTTGAAGGAAAGTGAAAACTGTCTTGACAGGCATGATGACTTTGCAAGCTCGCGACATACCAAATATAGTTATCCTATTAATTGCTCATAATAAGAGAGAAGCATTACGAAAAATCTGAACTTTTTTTCAACTAGTCACTGAACCATAAAAATGAGGCCAAGGACAATTGTCATACTACATACGGAAATTTCGCAACATGAGGCATCTAAATACAAAGTATGAAGCATCCAGGTCTTCTACATTCTGAAATCAAATGTAAGGGCTAAAGCCGCTGCAGACGAATCACTATCCCCGAGTCTCTCTTTCTGCGACAGAAGTCCCAGGCGAGACAAAATTTATTGTAAGGTTTATTCCTGCTTCAATACTTTTTACATTTTGAAATTGAGTGTTTTGGCCTCAGTATTATTTACATTTAATGTTGAAATTTGCATTTTGGCCATTTATACTGGGTACCGTTTGTTTTTATTCTGTCATCAAACCTGTTTATTTGTTTATTATAAACTTTATATTTAGCATGGTATTGATCTGATGAGCTAATTTAGCCTATTGCAACAGACTTTTACTTGTGTGTTCTAATTTTGTTCTGTAACACCACTGTACCAGGCAAGAGGGAGGCTTTATATATACTATATGTACCTGTCCCAAGTCAGGAGCCTGTCATTTTAGTGATTGTCGCTTGTTACTTTATTTCATATCTGTTGTTCGTTTATTGTTTTGTATTTAAATTTAGCCGTCGGTTTATCTCGTCTAATTGTTTTACAATGGTAATTTTGGACCCTTTATAGCTTACTTTGCAGTGCGAGACTATAGCTAGGCTCTTCATTCATTTTGACCCTGAAGGCCATACTGTTGCCTATAATTGTTTACATTGACGATATTTGGTCTTGGATGGAGAGTTGTTTCATTGGCAATCATACCACATCTTGTTATTTTTATATAAACCTTATTTTCACAAGTTTAAAAATTTCTTTGTATAGTCAATGACTGTAGACATTAGTTAAAGTTCAAAATTTATGGTAGAATGAACAGTACTAAAACAACAAATTATAATTAAGATTATATTTTTTCAGGGGCGGTGCAGCCGTTTTTAAAAGGGGATTCCAAATATATGTCCCCATTCAAATGTATTGGTCGTCAAATAAAAAAGGGGAGTTCTAACTCCCGGACCCCCCCTTTTGGATCCACCACTGTTGTTAACTAATATTTAGACAATCATTCAGGAAATCAATAGTGATAAGAGCCTTCAGAAAATGTAATATTTTATAATCATTCTGAATATCTGTAAGAGGATCCACGACCAGTTGCAGCTGTATATATAGTCTTCAATAGAAATTGGGATGTTTTTTGGAGTAACTGCTATTAGATGGTCATTTATAAACATTTGAAAAAGATAATAAATGTCCCTATCGATAAGTCCAAGTTCTCTTTTTATAGAGCTAAGCTTATCCGTGTAATGCAGTATTTAGGCGTACCGTTAGATTTTAGAAAATTGTTCCGAAAATTTCATCTGAATCTTACATGCAAGGAAGATTTTGATTGGGCAATGAAATCATTTTTGCCATATCAATAATGTAATTATGATATTGCATAAACATTTATGGGATCGCATTAATAAAAAATGCGATCGCACAAATAGAATAAAGCGATCTAATAAATAATAATGCAATCCCATAATTATTTATGCCATCGCATAAATACAATAATGCGATCGCATAAATACAATTATGTGATCGCATAAATGAATTATGTGATCGCATAAATGAATTATGTGATCGCATAAATGAATTATGTGATCGCATAAATGAATTATGTGATCGCATAAATGAATTATGTGATCGCATAAATGAATTATGTGATCGCATAAATGAATTATGCGATTGCATTAAAACGCCATTGTGACACTATTCCCGCGCCATACAAACCCCTGATTGTAATGTACCGTCTGATAATTTGGTCATCAGCCGGACTTGACGTCGATTAGGTGCTTTTGACCATATATATATAGACTGTAGATAACCGATTTAATATACGTTGTTCGCATTTGACCAACCCGTCAAATATCCGATGACATGCAAAATGTCAATAAGCACGTGTTACTTTCGTGATGGTTTTTTTTCTTTATTTATGTAGGAAATAAAATTTGCCAAATATTTCGAAAAAATGAAATAAGTATAATGGATATAATTATCATATTATATGAAGGGGACGAATAAATAACATCGTTTTGTAGAACACCTTTTTAACTATATAGACACCTCTTGATAGTTCTATTGGAAAAAAGTATAATTGAGAATTTGAAGTACTCTAAATTCGTTTTGTAATAAACTTTGACAAAGATTTTGAATCTTGGTCGTTAAATAGGACATCGCGTACTGGAATCTCAGCTGTTTAAGTACGAATATTGATATTATTATTTAAAGTGCTGTTTAATGATCTGAAATCATTGCATTTGATCTGAAAGCATTTTTGGAAAGGAAGAAAGATGTTGTCAACGTTGAGAATTCTGCCACGTATGCTTGGCACCGCGACGGAAAATCTGATAAAACCAGCAAATGGTCTTCAGCTACAGAAACTTCGAAGTAGATGTTCAAACAGACATTTTCACAAATGTAGAACTTTATCACAGAGAACAAATGTGTTGCCAGAAATTGAGGACTTCCCACAGATAGATGTTCCAGAGTACAAAGAAGAAGCCGAAGAAGCAACGATTTTTCGAGGGATGGAAACAGATTTTCCATGTTTAACAAGAAAGTGAGCATTTCTTTTAACATGCAATTAGATTTTTCCAACTTTTGTGTTTACAAAAGACAATATTTATTAGCACAAACACATTTAAAATAAATGGTTAAGGCATGGTTCATTATTGATCAATTATTGTAATAAAGTAAGAGAACAGAAAGCAATTTTAGGATGTACAGATGTATAGATGGACAAAGGTAACACTGAATGCCCCTTCCGCTGCAGCAGGGGCATAAAAACTTATAATTTATTCTTAGACAATGAACGAGTGATGCCAGTTTAAATGACTTCATTTAACAATCAACTCTTACTGTAATGAAATAACATAAGCATCATGACATCAGAAATGTATGCAATGCAATTGCAAGTTATCTTTTGGCTTCATACAGCAACCAAGCAAACAAAAATAATGTCATTCTAGCATTAACTTTTCACATGCTTTTGTGGACTCTGCTCACATTTAAGTAACATTCCATGTAACATGAGTATCATTAAACATTAGATAATGTTAACTTAAAATTAATATATTAAGGTAGATCAGGGGACTTCTGTGTTCTCAGATTCTTGGATTGTAAAATAGCAGCAAAATTTGGTCTAGATCTTTAATGATATATGAATATCCAAATTTTGACACAGGAATGCAATTAATTGTAAAACTTTTCTTCAAAAGGAAGAAAATTATATGGTTTATATTATTGTTGATACTGTTTTTACAAAAACAGAAAAAAATTTGTTTTATTCAATTTTTTTCCACTTAGCAATTTAAGGGAAGATAACTCAGTTAATTTAATTTTAAAAAGGAAGTATAGTGAATTTACCTATATATATGGTTTGTATCAAGAAAATAAGTACATTAGTTCCAATTTTTTTTTTAATTTTCTGTAAGCACATCATGAGAGCCATCTTCGCTAGCCAAGGGTTACGATCCACTTCCCTCCACCCTTGGCAGATTAAGCCAACATTTGTGATAACAATGTTGCACCATCTATCGGTAGATCAAAGTCACGCCCATTCCGAATACATTATTCTTGACCAATGGTAGCAGTTGAACTCTTCAATTTGGAGGTAAAAACACGGTAGCGTCTAGATTCTACACACTTGTTAAAGCAGGAAACAAAAATATACGTTGACATTCATGCATTTGTGCAAGAAACATACACAGGAACTTCTATTAATTGAGCAAAAACATTCAAATTGTCACTAAATATAGTCGTATGTTTAGGGATGTAAAGACTTGTTGCACAATAAGCATGTGGCGATTGTTTACATACACTTTCTACATTTACACGTGATCATGTTATAGGCGCTTTTTGATTGGATGCAGCAAATTTCGACTGCAACCAATGAAAATCATGACCTTGTGTCTCCAAAATTCTATCTCAATCCGCCAAGGGTGGAGAGGAGGGAAGTGGATCGTAACCCTTGGCTAGCAAAGATGCATGAGAGCTAGCTTTTCTTATTTTGTTTTAAATTTCTATTGGTAAGTTTTCTTTCTATTCACACAAACAACATTTTGCACCGACTAGAAAATTCGTTCGTTTTTATGCCCCCGCCGTAACGGTGGGGGCATTAAGTTTTACCCATGTCTGTACGTACGTACGTACGTCAGTCCGTACGTCCCAAAATTGGTTACCGTTCTCTAACTTGAGTTTGCCTCAACCAAATGTTATGAAACTTATAAACAAGGCTTATTACCACAAAACACAGATCAAGTTTGAAATTTGGTGGCATCACTTTAACCGTTCTAGAGTTATGCCCTTTATAAATGGAAAAATTGCAAAATTGTTAGTTTCCGTTCTCTAACTTAAGTTTGCTTCAACCGAATGTTATGAAACTTATACACAATGCTTATTACAACAAAACACAGATCAATTTTGAATTTTGGTGGTGTCACTTTAACCGTTCTAGAGTTATGCCCCTTTATAAATGGAAAAAATTGCAAAATTTTTATTTTCTTCTAAATATCAAGTAATTTCTAAAATTGAAGTTATCTTCCTTAGTCCATGATTATAGTTGAATCAACTACAATCAATGCTTTATACAATGCAATGTTTAATTTTGACTTCCACTGATAAAACACAGATCAAGTTGAATTTGGGTAGTGTCACTTTAACCATTATTGAGTTATGCCCTTTATAAATAGAAAAAATTGCTGAATTTTTAGTTTCTGTTCTCTACTTAAGTTAGCCTCAACCAAATGTTATGAGACTTACATACAATGCTTATAACCGCAAAACTCAGATCAAGTTCAAATTTTTTATAAAAGAATTGAGATCTCAACAAAGGCTCTGATATTTATTTGCCTGTACATGTTCATCAGTGCTTCATAATTATTTGTTTCAAAATATACCACTAGGTAGGCAACATCAAACAATCTAAACTTTATTTTTGCCCCACTAGTACTGGCACTAGTAATCGCAGTGCTGGTAAAATATACAGACATTACAAAAACAACTCTTTAATGTTTCACTGGTTAAGTCTGCAATTCATATTGTCATATAGATGATAGAGCATCCATTTTGCTAAGTTTTTTAAATGTTGAAAGGGAGGGGAAAAGAAGTTTAGATAAAATTGCACAAATTTGCAGTGGCGGATCCAGAAATTTTAATAAGGGGGGGGGGGGGGGGGCCACTGACTGCCCTAAGAGGGGGCCTGCTCCAGTCATGCTTCAGTGATTCCCTATATATCAACCAAATTTTTCCCACAAAAGGGGGGCCAGATCTTTTTGTCAAGCCTGCGTCTTTTGTCGCAAAAGCAAGACATAGGGATCCTGTCGTCGTCGTGGGCGGTGTCAACAAATATTCACTCTGTGGTTAAAGTTTTTGAAATTTTAATAACTTTCTTAAACTATCCTAGATTTGTACCAAACTTGGACAGAAGCTTGTTTATGATCATAAGAAAGTATCCAGAAGTAAATTTTGTAAAAAAAAAAATCATGTTTTTCTGTATTTTACTTATAAATGAACTTAGTTTTTCTGCCAGTTAACATTACATTCACTCTGTGGTTAAAGTTTTTAAAATTTTAATAACTTTCTTAAACTATCCTGGATTTGTACCAAACTTGGACAGAAGCTTGTTTATGATCAAAAGCTAATATCTAGAAGGAAATTTCGTAAAAATATATTTCCTGTTTTTCCGTATATTACTTATAAATGGACTTAGTTTTTCTTCCAGTTAACATTACATACAGTCTGTAGTTAAAGTTTTTAAAACATTTATTAGATTCATAAACCATTCTGGATCTTTTACCAAACTTGGACAGAAGCTTCTTACAATCAAAAGATAGTATCTATAAGAAAACTTTTAATAATTTTTTCCCCATTTTTGTTGAGCCTGTGACAAGCAGCAAAAGTAGGCGAGACACTGGGTTCCGTGGAACCCTTACGAAATTTTGGTGATGATTTTTCATATCATGCTACTCGCTTGAGATGGAAAATTGTCATCAGAAACTAAGGGTGCACGTGACGTTGTCAATGTAAACATGAACGACCTCATAGGAAAAATAGCGATAAACAGATTATCAATGGTCTTTCAAACTCGAGGATGTTTCTCAGCCACATTTCATCTCAGGGCTGTCGCCCTTCGATGAGATTGTAGCTGAGAAACACCCTCTCGTTTGAAAAACCATCAATAGTCTATAAGTATAGATATATATGCAGTTTGGTTTTATATTATCAGACTATTATTCCTTATGAATAATTCAGATTATTACTGATGGTTATCAAGTACATTTATATAAGCCTTTGTATTAAATCATATTTTATTTTGTCATATATCCATAGATGAATTGTAATGTTGAGTTAAATCTGAACTCCATTTTAAATAAGGTTATCTGTTCTGTTCATGCTGGAATTTTTGCAAGAGAAATATACTGTTGATTTAACTTTTGTTCATGGGGTACTAATTTTCGTGGATTTTGTAGATAAAATAATATATTTAATATATTTTTTATATAATTATTTTGTGTGTTCATATTATTTAGGTTATAATCATGATAATTAATTTGCAAATATTTTTTTTCATGTAGAACTTAGGAGACTAATCTGACTTATGTCAAAAATGTTTCATCTGTCATTACATGTGCACTTTACTTATTATCATATATAGATATGATATGTAAATAAAGAATCAGATAAAATATCAGACCATAACTGACCATGTGATTAGGTCAAAACAAAACAATATTTGTGTTTAAACAATTATTTAGTAAAAATGCAGAAATCATCAGCTTCATTCAGAGGACATGTTACTAACCGTATTTGCCATAAGCATTATAGACTCGAACACAAATTTAAAAACAATCATTTTCACGTCCTATAACTGGCTATTACTACTGCAGTTACAATAGGATCTGTGTCCCTGATTGCCTTTCAAAACAATTGTTTTTGCTATCATGTACAGCAGATGTTTTTCCGTCGTTCCGCTTGCCATTGCAATGCAGTAGATTTTACCATCATGAACACCAGATTAAAATCTGTGTTACCTGTTGCATGTGGTGTGGTTTTCAACTGATTTAGTAATATCTAGTCATCCGAAAATGGTTCACAATCATAACATTTTATTTATTTTTTTCAGTAAACTCAACGGGCCAGAACCAGAGTATAACAAGGTTGTATCTGGATACAAGACTTTTACATCACAGATACCCTTCCCACTGAAGTATAACCATGCAGTGCTTCCAAATATCACGATAGCTTACGAAACATGGGGAGAACTGAATGAGAATAAAGACAATGTTGTACTGATTCATGCTGGTTTGTCTGCAAGTTCACATGCAAAAAGCCATGAGGTATACATGTTCATTTATGTATCATTGTCATTTTGCTAAGTTTCTTTTGTTACCTATTCTGACATTGGACTCAGACTTCTTTTAAACTGAGTTTTACTGTGCGTATTGCTATGTGTTTCTTTATTCTACATTGGCTAGAGGTATAGTGGGAGGGTTGAGATCTCACAAAACATGTTTAACCCCGCCGCATTTTTGCGCCTGTCCCAAGTCAGGAGCCTCTGGCCTTTGTTAGTCTTGTATGTTTTTTAATTTTAGTTCGTTTATATGTTTTGGAGTTTAGTATGATGTCCATTTTCAATGAACTAGAACACAATTTTATTTAGGGGCCAGCTGAGGACCACCTCTGGGTGCGGGATTTTCTCGCTGTGTTGAAGACCCATTGGTGGCCTTCGGCTGTTGTCTGCTCTTTGGTCGGGTTGTTGTCCCTTTGACATATTCCCCATTTCCATTCTCAATTTTATGAAGAAACAGTTTGGTTTTATTCAGTTATAAGGTTTTAAAAAAATGTTATTACAGTGTTCTATATCATCGAAAATAACAATTGTAGTAGATTATGAAAATAAGGAGTTGTGGTATAATGATTTCCAATGAGACAAATATCCATAAAGTCCAAAGGACAAGGATGTAAACTAACAGGATCTATACAGCAATTTATATTTAAGAATTAGAAGTAATGATATAACCAATTACAAACTTAAAAAATTTTCCCCAAATATGATTACATTGTAAGCATTGCAAGGGTAGCCTTTTTCCTAAGGAGCTTTTTCCCTTTTGATACCTATCTGAATTATTTGAAATATTTTAATGAAATTCAGTTAAAGTAAAAAATTATATATACATGTACATGTAACGATACATAAAAATAAATAGATGTGGTTTGATTGTCAATGAGACATCTATCCACACAGGATGTGGAAGTAAACAACTATAGGTCACCATGTGATCTTCAACAATGAACAAAACTCATACCATAGCTTTAATAGGCATGACAAAATGTGAAACAGTTCAAAAAACACCAATAACCTGATTTATGCTTAAAACAATATAGATAAAATACATTCTCCATCATGACACCTGCAATTTTGGCAAATTTTAATAGCTGTATTATTAATCAGGAGAATATCTCACCAGGACTGTTGTTTCCATGTGATTTACAGCAAATTTTAAAATCACTAGCATTGTTTTATTTTCAGGAGAATTTGTCACCCTGATGGGTGGTTTCCATGTGATTAACAACAAAATTAATCACTAGCATTGGTTTTTTTTCTGGAGAATTTGTCACCCTGATGGGTGGTTTCCATGTGATTAACAACAAAATTAATCACTAGCATTGTTTTATTTTCAGGAGAATTTGTCACCCTGATGGGTGGTTTCCATTTGATTAACAACAAAATTAATCACTAGCATTGTTTTATTTTCAGAAGAATTTGTCACCATGATGGGTGGTTTCCATGTGATAAGCAACAAAATTAATCGCTAACATTGTTTTATTTTCAGGAGAATTTGTCACCATGATTGGTGGTTTCCATGTGATTTGCAACAAAATTAATCGCTAGCATTGTTTTATTTTTCAGGAGAATATGTCACCAGGCTGGTGGGAGAAGTTTGTAGGATCTGGTTGCGCTCTTGATACAAATAAATTCTTCATTATTTGTACTAACAGTTTAGGTAGCTGTTATGGTTCGACGTAAGTCATTAACTTATTTATGTTATTTTTGAGTGTTAGAAATATTATAGAAGTATTACAACAGTAGTTGGCAAGAGATCTTGAAATTGCAACTAAAGCTCATTTGCATAAATATATATAAGCCTACCCCGGAAATCACTTTTATCGCTATTTTACGAAATTTCCCTTTGATCTTGCTGACTGATAATTTCCTTTCTCAGCAGAGTCTAGTGATATGAAAAATTATCGCTAGAAACTAAGGGAGCACGTGGCGTTGCTAATGAAATTGACATGAAATTGACAACGTCGTCATAGGTAAAATAGCGATAAACAGATTATCTTTGGTCATCTCAACTCGATTGCTTTTCTCACTTTAAATCAATCTCATTGAGATGATCAACGATAATCTATAAATATAACAACAGTAATTTCTTAATATTTAAATCACATAAATGTTGGGAAGTGGGAAATTGTCACACGAATTTTCCTGCCAAACTGGTGACATTTTCTCCTGATAATAAAACACCAAGAGGTGATTAAAAAAATCACAAAATCAAAGTAAATACAACACAGTTGCAACATGGAGAAGACAAATAACTAGTTTGCAAAACATTTTGCAGAAAACTTATTTCTTAGGAACAACACAATTTCAATGCATAACCGTGGACGTATGTGATGCCTTTCTAGGAATATGCAACTTGTACCAATCTGATAGGCATGTTGTTTTTATTTCACAATTGTGGTAAGTGACATGAAATTAACATATCTAACCACCACAGTGCTATGCTGAATGTAAAAATACACCACAGTGCTATGATGAATGTAAAAATACACCACAGTGCTATGCTGAATGTAAAAATACACCACAGTGCTATGCTGAATGTAAGAATACACCACAGTGCTATGATGAATGTAAAAATACACCACAGTGCTATGCTGAATGTAAGAATACACCACAGTGCTATGTTGAAATTATGTCCAGTACAATTAAGTTAAGATGAAATCCAGCATCTAGATAAAATTATAAACTTCTTTGGTATCCTAAAAATCAAAAAGTTTTGATAAACGGAAAAGCCAAATTTTTTGCTGCATAATCTTAATTAGTCTTCTTGTTAAATCAAAATCAAACAATAATTTATTCTTTAGATTATTGCCCTTTTGGAAATGCATCTTTTAGTCTGTTTAATATTCTTAAATAAACAGATAGAACAACTGCATCTATAATCATCTATTTTGATGCTTTCTTTATTCAAAAGGCCTATTTGGACAACCTGTTTCTTGACAGCTGTCAAACACATAAATTTTGATTCGGTTATATCCACCAAAAAATTTATAGTCATTGCTTTATTTAATCAAAGGTCGTGTAAATTCCATTGCACAGATCTATTACAATGGTGTCATCTGTAATTTTAATGATCATCAAAGGATAGAAGCATCTTCACTTCTCAGTTTTTGCAAACGTTCCACTTTACTGGAAGTCTTTAAAACTTCTCAGAAACAGAGGTAAAAACCAGCCCTTTGCTAATGTGTTAGAGTTATCACTCTTTGATTAGTTTGAAAGCGGTAAAATTAGAACAAAGAGGATATTATACACATTTGATTTATTTTGGATTGAAAATAAGCACAAGCCAGCAGCAGATTTTTTGGCTGACTTTGCGGTGTCTGTGAACCAGAAAGTTAATTTAACATGTCCTAAGTTAATTGAGTTTAATTTGATGATGTCGATGAATTTTCTGCAAATTTTGGATTCATGTCATTGGCAGCTGTTAAATATGAATGCTTAATCATCTACCCTTGCTTATTTATTGTATGCCCTGGTAATATAAAATAATTGTTTTGAAAGCCTGAAACAGTATCATCAGACACTTTATGTAAAGTTTGCAATAAAACTATGTGTTGCTTATGCTTACAGATTTTTATGTGGCATATTTTCTTTCAGAGGACCATCATCAATAAACCCAGTAACAAATGAGGTATGCTAGTTCAGGGGACATGGACATGCATGTTCAGGGCCTCCTGTAACAGTATATTGAAACCGATTGGGTTGTGCTGCTCAGAATAACAAATTAAGTTAATTTCCTCTCATTACTAGAATGTGATTTAAATGTTGCTTATTCACTTCTTTAATGAAGGACATCAAGTTTAAAAATTAAGATATTTTACTCTGAATACATTTTGTACTTCTAATATTATAGGCTAAACAAGAGCCTTTTGAGCAGCGCAGCACTGCGGATTATACTTTATAATGTTCTCAATTGTAGCTCACCTAGACCAAAGTGTCTATGTGAGCTAATGTCATCACTTGGTGTCTATCATCGTCAGCATAACATTAAAAAAAATCTTCTTCGATGAAACTAGTGCCTTGATTTTAACCAAATTTGTTCGAAAGTTCCTAAAGGTATGTCTAGTTTATAACTTTTACCTGTGATTTTGATTCAACAAACATGACTGCTCTTGCTAGAATTAGAATATAGGGGTTATTCTGTAGTTTTGGGATCCGTCTAAAAATAAACAAGGCAGTTTAAGTAAGCCTAAACATAAGGATAAACAAATTAGCAGGTGAACCCTGAAATATGATTAGCAAAATCTATTTTGAATTTTCATGTTGAACAAAATTTGGAGTTATTTCCCCAATTCACTCAATTTTTACCAAATTTTGCAGTTTATGGCTATTATTTAGAAAATTATATTTGATAGAGAGATTTTAAAACAGCAAAAATAACCAGCAAGACAAGATCTACAAATGTGTCGACCTGGCCAAAATGTTCTTTTTACCCCTTATAGGAGTAACTTTCCTTGAAAGATGATTTTTATCCTATTTGTTTTTTTTTTTTTGCTTTTATGATATTGAGAATTTAAACTGCAAAAGTGATCAACCAGTCAATATCTTCAAATAATGCAACATGACAGTAATTGTCAGTTGTCTCTCTATAGGAGTTATTGCCTTTCAGTGATGACTTTTGGCATTTTCGACAAAAACTGTAGCAGAAAAAGGGAACCTGAAAACTTCAAAAATGATTAACCTAGGGTCCACAAATTAGTCAATGTGACAGAATTCAGTCAACTTCTTTTGTCTCTTCAATTACAATTTTTACCCATTTTTGCATTTTGGGGGGGGGGGGGGTAGGACCTTTATCGGGACTCCGGGATCGGGTGTTTTTAAGCTCGGGATTTGGGATTGATCCTTTTGGGATCCTGGAATTCTTTTTTCGAATTTTGGGATGTCGGGATTTAAATTTTTTTAAATTCGGGACCCTCAGGATTCCATGTTTTTAAGCCCGGGATTTCGGGATCAGGACCCCCCCCCCCATTTTTGGCTGTAATCTTGAAAACGATAGTACTAGGTAGAAAGAAACTGTGTGACTCAAAATGACCAGCAATATAGCAGTTTTTATACATAAGTCATTATTATTGAAAAAGTGTCAGCTCCTTCCTTGATAATTTTAATGTTGCAGATTTTATCAGGTGAGCTATTCAGGCATCTGGGAACCTCTAGTTATTACAACTTTTTTTGAAAATTGAAAATTTGTTGTCTAACATAAAATGCAATAAAACTTTAAAAGAAAACTGTAATAATCTAACAGGGTACACATGTGCATTTGTCACAAGTAAACTTATGTCTATACAATGTCATAAACCACTGTTATCCCTTGACTCTGAGAAAATATGGAAACCAAAATAAAGGTTTAACGATGCAGAAGATACACGAATTAATCCAAATTCAAATGATAACCTATATGTGGTCTCGTTGCTAATGTATATCCCAAGGACAATTTATAAGAATTAAATTTGATGGCCATTCATATATTTTGACTGAACAATGTTCAACTACATAATCTTCATTTATGCACATAAATTGTTCAGTTTTTCTGTAGTTTCCCATTAGGACCCGGTTGTTCATCTCTTGGTTAAATATAACCCTTTGTTAAATCTTTTAATAGAGGGTTACGTAACCAAAGGTTACATTTCCGTTGTTCAACTTCTTTATCACCCTTGGAAGCAAGGTTAAATCTGAATCATTTAACCAAGGATATAACATAGGTTTAAATTTAACCACAGTAAGAAAAACAAAATAACCTAGGTTTAAGTTTTAATTGGCTAAAATTTCCTATGAGATGAACAACTGTGTCCTGGGAACCAAAATAAAATGAGAATCTGCTATCTGTATGAAACAATGGAAGTACTGTAAACCAACTTATTTTCGCGAGCGATTTATTTTCCCCGAGTAGAAAAATAACGCTATAAATAATTTCTTGTTCTCAGTTATTTCTTGTTTTAAGTAAAAGTACTGGTATAAAACAGCATATGTAAATGATTTACTTTGCTGCATCAAATATTTTAAATTGAACAGTAGACCTCATAATTAAGAAATTCATGAAGGAAACAAATTATAAAAGAGTAATACCAGTAACGTATAATGAATCACTTCCCCCACCTACCCAAAAAGCTTGATATAGTTCCTGAAAGGGAAATAAAACTCTGAAGATACTTTATTTTTTAGCATTTAATTCTATTCAGGCAACATTTCGCAAGTAATAATAGTTTCAGGAATGTGAAAGTTCTTTGTTCGAAGGTCTTATTTAATGTCGTTCTCACTTTCGTATATTTTGGAAATAACCCTTAATGATCCCAGTTTGACGAAATGTCACAACTACTATGAGGATTGACTTCACTTGTTACATGAGTGTATATGGCTGATTAAATGACAATGTTAATAAAGCATACATATGAACTCTTGTGACAAATGTATGACAATGTCTACTGAGTATATAAATATATATATATGAAAAATCTGACAACTGTATGACTAACAATTGTTACCTGTATACATTGGAATCCAGAAACATTTAATTAAGGACCTATTCATTTTACAAGACCTAATATCAGAACTCTTTGAGCTTAATCTAGTAGGTAGTAACACTTGTCAGATATATTGACCCTTTTCTCGAAGGAATACAATTTCCTCTATTTTCTATGCAGAAGAGATCTTTTTATTATCTAAATGGTTCACAAAATGGAAAATGTTATTATAACATGGGTTTTATGATTTCAGAAATATGCAACAACTTTCCCAGTAATAAGTGTTGAAGATATGGTCAGAGCACAATTTCTTTTGCTGGATAACTTAGGTATTGAAAAGGTAAGTTATTTTATATTATTTTTATGCCCCCGCCGTAGCTGAGGGGGCATTAAGTTTTACCCTTGTCTGTCTGTACATCTGTACATCCGTCTGTCTGTACGTCCCGAAATTGGTTTCCTTTCTTCAACTTTAGTTTGCCTTTAACCAAATATTATGAAACTTATACACAATGCTTATTACCACAAAACACAGATCAAGTTTGAATTTTGGTGGCGTCACTTTTATCATTCTAGAGTTATGCCCCTTTACAAATGGAAAAATTGCTGAATTTTTCGTTTCCGCTCTCTTTCTAAAGTTTGCCTCAACCAAATTTTATGAAAATTACACACAATACAACACCACAAAACTCAGATCAAGATGAACTTGGGTAGTGTCACTTTTACCTTTATTGAGTTATGTCCCTTTATAACATTGTATGCAAGCGGGGGCATCATCTGTGTCCCATGGACACATTCCCCATTTATTAAATTATTATTTTCTGATCACATACATCATATGTTAACCCAGATATCATGAAGTCTCTTTCTGTTAATTACCAGTTATTGCATTAATTTTTCATTCAACTGGTAAGTGGTACACCAAGGAAAATAAGATTCTATATTTTTTTCTCAAGCAAACATTTTCTTTCTGAAATCATATAAACAAAACAATAAAAAAGAAATAGTGTGCTGTTTTGGTTGTATCTTGACCTACCAAACCGAGACATTATTTTTTGATCCCCTTTAATGGATAAAAAAAAAACATTTGAAATGCAGATGAGTTCTAGAAAAGTAACACATAAAAACCTTTTCTTTCACTAGCATCAACATTTTCTGCCAACTGACCCAGAGTTATCTTTGCAAGGCAGTTGGAACTGTTCAGTCAAATATTTTCTCCTGTGATGTTAGATGTTACACAAAATCTTGTGATTTCCATCCAAGTATCTGAAACAGCAAAAACAAAGATTACATTAATATAAACATATGTTTGTTGTCAAGTGAATTGTTAGTACTTCTTAAAAAGGTCTTAATTTTTTTTCTGATCTTCTTTTCTTCTTATCTATATTAAAGCATAGTGACCATAATTTATTTGATAAACTTGTATTTTACAGTTACACAGTAGTGTTGGTTCATCATTAGGTGGGATGTGCTCATTACAGGCTGCAGTTATGTACCCTGAAAGGGTAGGCAGGTAAGAGATTAAGGCCATTCAAGAAAAAAAATTCTTTTGTCTCTGTATTACATTATTTTTGTTTGTCCGGTGTATTTATAATTTAAGTATATTACTGTGGATTCATTATTATTCGTTGGATACCAGTTTTCGTGGATTTTGTGGGTACAGGGGAACCATGAATTGAATGTTCAACAAATTACAAATTTGCTGTATGATTAAATGCAGACTTTTGGAAAACAACAAAATCAAATATCTACGAAAATGCAAGTATTCCTCAATCCATGAAAATTGGTACCCACGAAAAAATAAATGAATCCACAGTACCTGATATGTTATAGAGTTAATTGCTTTATATTGAATTTTTATTAAATACCCTTTCATGAACCTTTTATTTTTCCACTGATTGAGATTTAAGTTGGAGGGTTGAGATCTCTAAAACAAGGTAAATGATTAAGCAAGTGGGGCATGATGTCCAATGGACACATAATCTTGTTTATTTATAATGTTTTTTGTTGGATAAATGTCAGTGAGACAGTCACCCAATAATGAAAGTTCATCAAATTAGACATCTAGAGGTCACCTCAATTTGAATTTTTACGATTGAAGATCAAAATATAGTAAAAATCAAAGCAGAAAAAGCACTTAATTAAACTACATTGCTTTTAGAGAATAACCAAGCAGAACAAAATATGAGCACACTTTATAATACCAAGCTGAAGAAAAGTTCAATTACAATAGATTTTCCATTAAACTAGTTGATTATCTATTATCATATAGATTAGACTGTTGGTTTTCCTGTTTGAATTGTTTTACACTAGTCATTTAGGGGCCCTTTATAGCTTGCTGTTCGGTGTGAGCCAAGGCTCTGTGTAGAAGACCATACTTTGACCTATAATTGTTAACTTTTTAGTCCCCTACCAACGAAGTCAAAGGGGACTTTAGGTTTGCACTCGGTCCGTCTGTCTGTCTGTCCATCCATCAGTCGGACAAATCAGTTTTCCACCCTTTTTTGCTTCGTGCTTGAAGATATTGATTTGATATTTGGTGTATTGTTTTATCATGACAAGTTACAGATCAACTTCGATATTTTTTCCGGTCTGATGATTATGTGCAGAGTTATGGTCCTTGGACTTAGAAAATTCACTTAGATAATCAGTTCTACACTTTTTCGTCATGCTTGAAGATATTGACTTGATATTTGGTATATAGTTACACCATGACAAGTTATAGATCAAGTTAGCATTTTGTTCCTATACAATGATTTTTAACCGGTAGGGGACTATATATTGCTATGCAATACTCTCAGAATGCTTGTTATACATTGTGACTTGGATGGAGAGTTGTCTCATTGGCACTCATACCACATCTTCTTATTTATACTATCAGATTTTTATTTCTTGCAGATTAATCTCAATATCATCATGTGCTCATTCCCATCCGTCCTCCATTGCTATGAGATATCTACAGAGGAAAGCTATTATGTCCGACCCTAACTGGAACAAAGGTCACTACTATGGTGCAAAATATCCTAAAATGGGGATGAAGCTTGCAAGGTAGGTTGCAGTGAGTTTAAAAAATTGTGAAATATTTTTTTAATTTTTAACCGGATTTTCGAAGAAAAAAAATTGGTTATTGATTTGGGGATGTATGGCGGCTGCCAAACAGTGTCCGTTTCAATAACATGAAAACACTTTGATGAAATCTTTTCAAATTTAGATATGTTGTTTCCTGTGACTAAATGAAGGTCAAGTTCAAGTTTCACGATTTTAGCTGTTCTTGTTGTTGAGTTGTAGAACTTTCAGTAGCAAAAGTGATTCTTAATATATGATTTTGAGTTATTTCCCTTTGAACAGAAATGGAGTAATTAATAAGTAATTTCTATGTCATTTGGTCTCTTGTTTTTATTTTGAGTTATTTCCCTTTGAACAGAAATGGTGTAAATTATAAGTCTATCAATGATTGTATCTGTTCAATTGATTTTAGTCAGGAGTTGTCAACAATTTCTTTATAACTATTTTTTTAGCTCACCTGGCCCGAAGGGCCAAGTGAGCTTTTCTCATCACTTGGCGTCCGTCGTCCGTCGTCCGTCATCGTCCGGCGTCGTCCGTCGTCGGCGTTAACTTTTTACATTTTGAACTTCTTCTAAAGAACCACTGAATGGAATGAAACCAAACATGGCATGAATGTTCCTTATGAGGTGCTGACCAAGTGTTGTTACTTTGTAGCCGATCCATCATCCAAGATGGCCGCCAGCGGGGGACTTAGTTTAACATAGGACCCTATGGGAAATGCATACAAATGACTTCTTTTAGAGAACCACTGAATGGAATGAAACCAAACATGGCATGAATGTTCCTTATGAGGTGCTCACCAAGTGTTGTTACTTTGTAGCCGATCCATCATCCAAGATGGCCGCCAGCGGGGGACTTAGTTTAACATAGGACCCTATGGGAAATGCATACAAATGACTTCTTTTAGAGAACCACTGAATGGAATCAAACCAAACATGGCATGAATGTTCCTTATGAGGTGCTCACCAAGTGTTGTTACTTTGTAGCCGATCCATCATCCAAGATGGCCGCCAGAGGGGGACTTAGTTTAACATAGGACCCTATGGGAAATGCATACAAATGACTTCTTTTAGAGAACCACTGAATGGAATAAAACCAAACATGGCATGAATGTTCCTTATGAGGTGCTGACCATGTGTTGTTACTTTGTAGCCGATCCATCATCCAAGATGGCCGCCATTGGGGAACTTAGTTTAACATAGGACCCTATGGGAAATACATAAAAATGTCTTCTTTTAGAGAACCACTGAATGGAATGGAACCAAACATGGCATGAATGTTCCTTATGAGATGCTGACCAAGTGTTGTTACTTTGCAGTCGGTCCATCATCCAAGATGGCCGCCAGCGGGGGGACTTAGTTTAACATAGGACCCTATGGGAAATACATACAAATGTCTTCTTTTAGAGAACCGCTGAATGGAATGAAACCAAACATGGCATGAATGTTCCTTATGAGGTGCTGACCAAGTGTTGTTACTTTGTAGCCGATCCATCATCCAAGATGGCCGCCAGCGGGGGACTTAGTTTAACATAGGACCCTATGGGAAATGCATACAAATGACTTCTTTTAGAGAACCACTGAATGGAATGAAACCAAACATGGCATGAATGTTCCTTATGAGGTGCTCACCAAGTGTTGTTACTTTGTAGCCGATCCATCATCCAAGATGGCCGCCAGCGGGGGACTTAGTTTAACATAGGACCCTATGGGAAATGCATACAAATGACTTCTTTTAGAGAACCACTGAATGGAATGAAACCAAACATGGCATGAATGTTCCTTATGAGGTGCTCACCAAGTGTTGTTACTTTGTAGCCGATCCATCATCCAAGATGGCCGCCAGCGGGGGACTTAGTATAACATAGGACCCTACGGGAAATGCATACAAATGACTTCTTTTAGAGAACCACTGAATGGAATAAAACCAAACATGGCATGAATGTTCCTTATGAGGTGCTGACCATGTGTTGTTACTTTGTAGCCGATCCATCATCCAAGATGGCCGCCATTGGGGAACTTAGTTTAACATAGGACCCTATGGGAAATACATACAAATGACTTCTTTTAGAGAACCACTGAATGGAATGAAACCAAACATGGCATGAATGTTCCTTATGAGATGCTGACCAAGTGTTGTTACTTTGTAGCCGATCCATCATCCAAGATGGCCGCCAGCGGGGGACTTAGTTTAACATAGGACCCTATGGGAAATACATAAAAATGTCTTCTTTTAGAGAACCACTGAATGGAATGGAACCAAACATGGCATGAATGTTCCTTATGAGATGCTGACCAAGTGTTGTTACTTTGCAGTCGGTCCATCATCCAAGATGGCCGCCAGCAGGGGGACTTAGTTTAACATAGGACCCTATGGGAAATACATACAAATGTCTTCTTTTAGAGAACCGCTGAATGGAATGAAACCAAACATGGCATGAATGTTCCTTATGAGGTGCTGACCAAGTGTTGTTACTTTGCAATCGGTCCATCATCCAAGATGGCCGACAGCAGGGGACTTAGTTTAACAAAGGACCTATGGGAAATACATACAAATGTCTTCTTTTAGAGAACCACTGAATGGAATGAAACCAAACATGGCATGAATCTTCCTTATGAGATGCTGACCAAGTGTTGTTACTTTGTAGCCGATCCATCATCCAAGAAGGCTGCCAGCGTGGGACTTAGTTTTACATAGGACCCTTTGGGAAATACATAAAAATGTCTTCTTTTAGAGAACCAATAAATGGAATGGAACCAAACATAGCATGAATGTTCCTTATGAGATGTTGACCATGTGTTGTTACTTTGCAGCCGATCCATCATCCAAGATGGCCGCCAGCGGGGGACTTAGTTTAACATAGGACCCTATGGGAAATACATACAATTGTCTTCTTTTAGAGAACCACTGAATGGAAATGAACCAAACATTGCATGAATGTTCCTTATGAGTTGCTGACCAAGTATTGTTACTTTGTAGCCGATCCATCATCCAAGATGGCCGCAAGCGGGGGACTTAGTTTAACATAGGACCCTATGGGAAATGCATACAAATGACTTCTTTTAGAGAACCACTGAATGGAATGAAACCAAACATGGCATGAATGTTCCTTATGAGGTGCTCACCAAGTGTTGTTACTTTGTAGCCGATCCATCATGCAAGATGGCCGCCAGCGGGGGACTTAGTTTAACATAGGACCCTATGGGAAATGCATACAAATGACTTCTTTTAGAGAACCACTGAATGGAATAAAACCAAACATGGCATGAATGTTCCTTATGAAGTGCTGACCATGTGTTGTTACTTTGTAGCCGATCCATCATCCAAGATGGCCGCCATTGGGGAATTTAGTTTAACATAGGACCCTATGGGAAATACATACAAATGTCTTCTTTTAGAGAACCACTGAATGGAATGAAACCAAACATGGCATGAATGTTCCTTATGAGGTGCTGACCAAGTGTTGTTACTTTGTAGCCGATCCATCATCCAAGATGGCCGCCAGCGGGGGACTTAGTTTAACATAGGACCCTATGGGAAATACATAAAAATGTCTTCTTTTAGAGAACCACTGAATGGAATGGAACCAAACATGGCATGAATGTTCCTTATGAGATGCTGACCAAGTGTTGTTACTTTGCAGTCAGTCCATCATCCAAGATGGCCGCCAGCGGGGGGACTTAGTTTAACATAGGACCCTATGGGAAATACATACAAATGTCTTCTTTTAGAGAACCACTGAATGGAATGAAACCAAACATGGCATGAATGTTCCTTATGAGGTTCTGACCAAGTGTTGTTACTTTGTAGCCGATCTATCATCCAAGATGGCCGCCAGCGGGGGGCTTAGTTTAACATAGGACCCTATGGGAAATACATACAAATGTCTTCTTTTAGAGAACCACTGAATGGAATGAAACCAAACATAGCATGAATGTTCCTTATGAGGTGCTGACCAAGTGTTGTTACTTTGCAGTCGGTCCATCATCCAAGATGGCCGACAGCAGGGGACTTAGTTTAACAAAGGACCTATGGGAAATACATACAAATGTCTTCTTTTAGAGAACCACTGAATGGAATGAAACCAAACATGGCATGAATCTTCCTTATGAGATGCTGACCAAGTGTTGTTACTTTGTAGCCAATCCATCATCCAAGAAGGCTGCCAGCGGGGGACTTAGTTTTACATAGGACCCTTTGGGAAATACATAAAAATGTCTTCTTTTAGAGAACCAATAAATGGAATGGAACCAAACATAGCATGAATGTTCCTTATGAGATGTTGACCATGTGTTGTTACTTTGCAGCCGATCCATCATCCAAGATGGCCGCCAGCGGGGGACTTAGTTTAACATAGGACCCTATGGGAAATACATACAAATGTCTTCTTTTAGAGTACCACTGAATGGAATGAAACCAAACATGGCATGAATGTTCCTTATGAAGTGCTGACCAAGTGTTGCTACTTTGTTGCCGATTTACTGTTCAAGATGGCCACCAGGATATTTTATTAAATAACGGGACCAATATTAATCAATATTTGGCCTCAATCATTACTTGGGTATCTGTTATGATTTTTATCTATCATTACATGATTTCTAAAACCAAAGTAGAGTCAGGTGAGCGACACAGGCTCTTGAGAGCCTCTAGTTTTTAAAGTTGTGTGTTTTGAAGGTAGATGTCACAGTTGTTATGTGGTATTTTCTTTTTGTTTTGTGTGTTAATGTTTAATATTTATTTGATCCTGTTTGGGGGTTCAGATTTGCAAATATCATTTTCATTAGATAATAATCTATTTTTATTCTTCCTATAAAACTACACACAATTTGTATAATAGATTTTTACAATTAATACACATTTGTACATGTATTTGGGTTATTTATTTATTCATGCAATAATTTCCACCTTTTTATCAAGATAACAAACATGTTGTTATTATCAACTAACAAAATTATAATTGGAGTGACAGATTTATTATTGTTTTTGGGCCCAGTTTTCAAGTTGGTCCAAATCGGGGTCCAAAATTAAACTGTGTTTGATTTCAACATAAATTGAATATATATAGGGTTCTTTCAAATGCTGAATCTAAACCTGTATTTAAATTTTGGAATTTTGGGCCCAGTTTTCAAGTTGGTCCAAGTCAGGGTCCAAAATTAAACTTTGTTTGATTTCAACAAAAATTGAATTTATGGGGTTCTAATGCTGAATCTAACCATGTATTTAGAGATTTTGGATTTTGGGCTCCTTTATCAAATTGGTCCACATTAAGGTCCAAAGGGTCCTAAATTAAACTTTTGTTTGATTTCATCAAAAAATGAATTCTTGGGGTTCTTTGATATGCTGATTCTAACAATGTACTTAGATATTGGATATTGGACCATAATAGGTAAATGTTCAATTTCAAATTTTTCAGTTCTTTGACCACATTCATTTTGTGTCACAAACCTATGCTGTGTCAAATATTTAATCACAATCCAAATTCAGAGCTGTTTTAAGCTTAAATGTTGTGTCCATACTTGCTCAACTGTTCAGGTTCGACCTCTGCAGGAAAATCCGGTTTGCTGTCACTCTGACAGCCTCTTGTTAAATTTTAGAATGGTCCTTGGAACCTGCACCAAACTCTGCAGTTGGTGGTTAGACCATGCTGAATAAAATGTCATGTATAACTATCCAATGTGCTCATGTTATATTTGAGTTATAACTAAGTTGGTAATGTTTTCACTGTAAAGTATGTACAAATATGGTCAGGTGTCATCTCCCTTTGAACATTAATACTAATTTATGATTTACAGATGCATGCAGTGTTCAAGTTTCAATTTAACTCCAAGTAAAGATATATCTATGAACTACTGTGAATTCATTTTTGTCCCCACGTAAAGTGTTGCGGGGAACATAAAAATACCAGACGTCTGTCTGTCCGTCCGTCCGTTCGTCCATCTGTGTGTCTGTGCGTCCATCCGTCCTGTCTTGTTAGTGCTCTCATATACAGTTCTTGCCAGATTTTTTATGAAATTTATATCATAGGTTTATACCAGCAATGTCTTGGACTAGTTCGAACATCAGTGCCTATCAATTATTTTTAAAAGAGTTTTGCCCCTTGGAAAAATTCATTATATTGAAAATTGCATCGGTAGCGCTCTCATGTGTACAATTCTTGCCAGATTTTTATGAAACTTGTATCATAGCTTTATATCAGCAATGTCTTGGACGAGTTCGAAAATTAGTGCAGATCAATTATTTTTAAAAGAGTTATGCCCCTTGGAAATATTGATTATATGGAAAATTGCATTGTTAGCACTCTCATGCGTACAATTCTGGCCACAATTTTATGAAACTTATGTTATAGGTTTATATCAGCAATGTCTTTGTTGAGTTTGAAAATCAGTGCAGATCAATTATTTTTAAAAGAGTTATGCCCCTTGGAAATATTAATTATAACGAAATCACATTGCATTTGCTCTGAAGCCTTCATTTCTCTAAGGTATTTATAAATTGTTTTAAACTTAAGGAACAAAAAAAAGGGTTTTTTTTTAGGTATTGCCCTTGTACCTTGGATAGATAAAATATATGCAACGAGGGGGATATTGGAACTCTGTTCTTTTATTTTTTTGTGGATACCAATTTTCGTGGATTTAAGAAAAGATGTATTTTTGTGGATTTTTAATTTGGTGGTTTTGTATTAGTCTGCATACAAGTCTATAGAAAATGTATACTTCTTTGAACATTTAAATTTGTGGTTCACCTGTAACCATGAATATTGATATTGCACAAGTAATAATGAATTCAAAGTATATATTTATCTATTTGTAGAGAAATTGCTACGATAACATACAGAAGTGGACCAGAATGGGACCGAAGATTTAATCGTGACAGAATTGATAATACATGTCCACCAACCCTCTGTCCAACATTTTCTATAGAGAGTTATTTAGAACACCAAGGAGAAAGCTTCGCTACGAAATACGACCCCAATTCTTTACTTTATATATCAAAAGTAAGTACTGTATCTGTTATCTCAGAATTGAAAGAACGTAAACTTGGGAGCCATTCTTTACACTGTGTATTTACTTAAAATCTTCAATGGTTGATTGATTGATTGATGGTTATTTGCTTTAGACTGCTTTAGCACACAAGGCTATATTCCTGCATGAGCTTTTTTCTATATTTTCACAATAAAACAAACAAAAACTCTTGGAAGTACTGTTACTTCCTGAAACTTTGAAAGTAACCCAAAGTCCTCTACATATTTAGATTCAATGATTTGATTGCATAACTTTTATTGATTTCTCTCATAAAGTTACAATTAAGTTTGAAGTGCTGACATATAAGAGAACCATCTGTATTGACAGTTGTACTTCCCTCTGTATAGACAGTTGAAGTGCCATTTGTATAGCCCTATTAAAATCAGAGTTTGTAGATTTACCTGTAGTTGTAACACTTTCTATTTTGATGGAAAGTAATAAAGATGCATTGACTTCATACTGATGGGTTATTTAAAGGGGCATTAACTGTCAAATTCATTTTCACCAATTTGACTCAATTTCTCATATTTGATTTATAACATACTAAAACATATATCGAACTAACAAAATGTCTAAAATAAACAATTAACAATGGATGGACTCGATAATATGTATCAGCATGTTCATCATTGTTTTTACCTGTATAAGAATCATTTTTTGTGGATCGAATCAGTCAACCAAATGGTTCATTCTTTTTCACTTTCAATGTTGACATTCTTTTCCTTTTAATACCTGAATGCGTAATCCATCTCCAGCTAAGGGGTTTAATTGAAGGTTACATGAATACGAATTCAACGAGGTGGAATTATTCACTTGCAAGTGAATAATTCATCAGCGATGTTTCTTAGCTTATTTTGACAAAATTGAACCTAACTGACTGCTAAAAGTGAATTATTATTTCACTATTTCACTTTCATTAATGATTGAACAAAAATGATCATATTTTAATTTTTTTCATATCTCGTTTCTTAATGCCCCTTTAATCACATACTTATTTTCTATTGTTATGGAGCAAAAAATTTGTCTTTTATAGGCAATGGATTTATTTAACATAGGAGAGAGTTACGAATCCCTTCATGCAGGTTTATCTCGTGTGAATTGTCCTGTAATGGTTATTGGTGTACAAACAGATATTTTATTTCCTATTCCGCAGCAACGAGAACTGGCAACAGCTCTACAGGAAAGTGGTAATATGATTTTCAGTTAAAAACTTCTTAAAACCATGAAACATACTTTATTGCAAAGCAATGTATGTAGGTAGGTCAATTCCTAATCCATGTGGATTTTGAGTTAATTTTCCTCATGGAAAACTTCAAATACACTACTTTATTAGAATTCCTTATCATCCCTTTGGTTATTTATATACTGTAATCCAACTTATTTTTGCAGATACCTTATTATGTGTTTCTCTAATTCTTTGTCAATTTATCTCTTTCTGCACCCATTGTCTAAAAAAAATTTAATCAACGTGTGGTTTGTTTGATCTCAGTTCTTCATTGGTTAAAATCCGATTATGACGTCAAATTTTCTTGCTTTCCTCTGAATTTCCTTTTATGACGGCATGAAAAAAGGCGATCTTTTTGCAGATCATTCGAAAAGAAGGAATAAATTTGCCTGCGTATTGTTTGAAAATCATTAGAGAAACAGATTCCACCACCAAATCTCGTGTAATAGGATATTTATCCACTCTTCACAGTTAAATTTTAAATATTTAAACCCTCAGAGAGTCTAGCGTTTTAAATTTGAAAATTTAACTGTCTCGTGTCGAGTCGTGTGGATAAATATCGTATCACACTCGATGCAGTGGTAGAATCTATATTTATCTGCAAACAATTTTTTTTATGTGTTCAAGTCAAGATCAAGTTTAATGCATTCAAGATGATTCATATTCAGGTTGCTTTTCTACTTGCTAAAGTAGCAAAAATAAATTGCTTGCAAAATTAGTTAGGTACAGTACATGTTGTATTTAAATTAAAACATGTATTTTGGGTAAACATTAAATGAGACAACAATTTAACAACAGAAGTTTACTATTAATTACTATTAGTCAAAAATCAACTATTATTCTTGTCAATCAGTCAGAATTGATTCTGACTTGCTATCTTCTACATGGTAAAAGTGTCAATTATAAATATAGAGTTATCTTTCTTTATCCAACAAGCTAGACATCTCTTGCACACCAGTGATATTGATATGATAATTTGTATGTTAGTTTATTGTGCTGTACCTAATTAACATAATCCCAGTGAGCAGAGTGAAAAATTCTTGTATGGAAGTGTGAATGAATGTGTCAAAATGTGTAAGCCGAAAGGGCTCTGTGATTAGGAAAATAAAGAATTTTAATTTGAATTTATAATGGGATTTATATTTAAGTGAGGATTGTAAAATGACAAATCACAGTAAGCAATTTATGTTTGGACAATTTTTGACTGGTTGTGTTATGAGTGATTAATTTTTTGATTGATTAACTTGACACAATTTTAACCCAATTGTATTAATATTACAGGTAACCCAACAGTGACATTTTATGAACTGAATTCTCTGTATGGACATGACACATTTCTACTGGATCTGAATGGTGTTGGAGCAGCTGTTAAGGTACAGTTTTATTTTTAAGGCCAAACAAGGTCAAACAATTCTCCATTCTCCCTCATCTGTTTGTCAATTTGGTTTCTGAGTGTTGAAAATTTTCACATCATCATGTCCTTCCTATAAATTGTAAGACAAAACTATGATAAACTCTCCTCAGAAATTGTGAAGTCACTGATAAGTTCTGCTCAAGTCTCAAAGCCATGATACAAAAATTACTGAGCCACTGAGTAGGTTGATATAGATGGAGGGAAGGATGATATTTATAGATTATCGCTGGTCATTTCAACGAGATTGATTTTCTCGCTTGAGCCGGTACTGCGAAAGTGAGAAAAGCAATCAAGTTGAGATGACCAATGATAATCTGTTTATCGCTATTTTGCCTATGACGAAGCTGATGTTTACATTGACAACAGCATGTGCGCCCTTAGTTTCTAGCAATAATTTTTCATATCACTCTACTGTGCTGAGAAAGTTAATTTTCAGTCAGTAAGGTCAAAGGAAAATTTTGTAAAATAACGATAATGAATGATATAGTTTGCCTAACCTGTATTATATAGTAAGCTAAAATAATCAATAGATAAATTGTCCTACAGGCACCTGAACATGTCATTCCTTTTTTCCCCAAACTTTCTATTTACATATCTTTAAATTTAATCTGATTGGAATACAGATTCTGTGTCTTAGCTTTGTTTACAAGGATCTGACAACTCTCCTTTTCACTTTCTGTTTTAAGGACTTTTCACGATTCTCAGGTTTTGTCATAATGACATTTTGAAGGTATGAATTTCATTGGCAGATGTGATAATTACCAGAACAGAAAGTAGAATGAAATGTTGTCAAATCCTTGTAAGAAAATAGATGAAACAGGATCTGGATTTTAATCAGAGTCCGTTTAATTTGGTCTTAAATTTAGCTGACAATATGGACATCGTCCTTATGTCATCAGTCTGATACTGGCTGCTGCCATCTCCTCTAAATTGTCCTCTCTAAAAAAATGAAGTTTCCATGTCAGAAGACTTTTTCTGAAATGGAAGTTTATTCAATGATTGCGGTACATGCATTTCAAAATGCAGCAAAAGTTTATTTTCTTATTTGAACTAGACAAGGCAAGATTTTGGAGAGATCGTTAGTTATCAAAATAGTCTTCATTAAATTTCTCCACACATATAGTATAAAGTTGAACAGCAAAAACAATTGTGAGCCTTTGTTTGATTTCAGTGAATTCTCTTTATTTACACATGACATATTTATTACCCCTTCATTTGATTTTTATTGACTGATTGATTGTACAATTTGTTTTACAAAAACAGAAGCCATTGACCATATGTATCTAATAATCACACAAAAATTATGTTGTCTCTCATAAATCTCATATGAAGACCGTTATTTTTAAGAATAAGAAATTCATCATATTCTCATTGTTCAAATTCAAAGAATCTGTGTTTCTATCATACAGATTAAGAACTTTTCACAAAATTGGAACACAAATTCATTAACATAGTCAACCAGTAAATTAGAGTTGTCTCCCTTTGTCCAGTTTGCAGTCAACCAGTGAATTAGAGTTGTCTCCCATTGTCCAGTTTAGACAGGCTGGAGATTCAGATTAGTAATATTAACGTTTTGTTGAGAACATTAGTAGTTTTTAATGCAAATGTTAGTTGTGTCAATTTGTTGTTCTGCATTTGTAGCTCTTTCAATACAGGTAGTTAAAAAATCTGCCATTTTGATAAAAGGTTATTTTAGGGTGTTCTGTAAAAAAAAAAGTTTTTTTTTACTGAGTAATGTTTTAGTGTCAAATTTGCAGTAAACATTTTGTGTTGATTGATTTTTTTTTTACAGTTTATCATATGATGAAAATGTCCAATTATTTGTTTTAAAAAAACAACATCTGTGTCATTTGACACATTTTTCTCATGTGACGGATATTGACTGTACAATGGATATAGACAAAATGCAAATGTAAAAGTGAGGAGTGAATGTCACAGCTGTAAATTGTAAATAATAAATACATCCCACACATTAACTTTTTAGCTCAGCTGACCCAAACCTTGTGACTTGCTATTAGTTGACAGCTGTCATTTGTTTGTTATTGTTTTTTTTCCAAAGACAATCTTTAAAACTACTTTTTCAGTTGGAACTAAACTTTTCCTTTAATCATCCTTTTGATATCCACTTTCAAACTATTATTTAATAAATAAATCTTGTAATAACCAAACTGACTCCCTAAAATTCAGAATTTTGCATAACCATCCAAAAAAGACCTTTAAGGGCAAATTGATTTAAAGTGTGTTGTTTCTAAAAAGATAAACCACCAAATCCTGAAAGGTATCTTAAACAGAAAGTAGAACAGAGTGTTGTCAGATCCTTGTAACAGAAGCATGGACACAGGATCCGTATTCCAATCATATTGTGATTCTTATTACATTTCACTGTCACACCAAATAAGATGGGTACTACAGTGCATGGACACAGGATCCATATTGCAATCATATTGTGATTCTAATCACCTTTCACTGTCACACCAAATAAGATGGCTACTACAGTGCATAGACACAGGATCCGTATTTCAATCATATTGTGATTCTAATTGCCTTTCACTGTCACACCAAATAATATGGCTACTACAGTGCATGGACAAAAGTATTCATCACCTACCTTTGTATGATATATATTTCATATAAAAAACACTTTTTTTTTTAAAGTTCGGTCAAAGTCATTTATTGTGGATTTTAAGAAACCTGGATGTTAAACAACACAGAATTGTTTTAAGTATATTTGTTTATTTGGTCATAGTTTTTTTCGTCCGTTGTTTTTGTTTTTTCTTGATATGAACAGTTATGAGGATTTTTTACAATTCAAGTTTAACTGAAATATATAGCAAATTTCAAAAAAAAAAAAGATACTAGTGTTTATATCATCAGAAAATGAAAAAGCTCCACAAAAAATGTAACCAAATAAACAAATAAGCCTGTGACAATTCTGCTTCTTTTGGTACCAAGTTGAATAAAATCCAACCAGAAATAATCTCACAAAATTAAAAAAAAACAACATATTTTTATATGAAATATATAGAGAAAAATCACAGGTGACAAATACTTATTGTCATGCACTGTACATTTGTATTATGAATCAAAAATATGAGAAAACATGGCAATTCTGTTACTTCAAATAGAAAAATATGATAAAATTAATTGAAAAAATTCTGAATTATTCTGTAAAGAACAAATTGCTACCAAATATACACAAATGATCCATATTACAATTTTTTTGTTGAACTGCACAGCCTTCGAACATTGCATTAAAATTAAAATAGAAATTTTAACAGATACAGTAGTCTTTGATCTGAAATTACTTAGCCTTTTACAGTCCAATTATCTCTCAGAATTATTTTAGATGAAACCTTCCACTGTTAAGCAAAATAAGATGTCTACAGTCTACATTATTTGTGCTATAAAGAAAAAAAATTTTGAAAAAAGTCTCATTGAATATTTTAGATTATCAAATATTTTATTTGTTCAGTTTGTACAAAATTTGACATGATGATCCAATTTTTAGAATTTAAGACTTGAGTAGAAAAATTCTTGTGATTTTTGTTGTGAAAAATTTGTTCTTATTGAGTGAGAGTATAGTCTTAATAGTCCAGGTGAGGGACACAGGCTCCTCCAAGCCTCTAGTTTCCTTTAAGGGTTGAATGAGAATCTGTCTATACAGCTGTTTTGTTGTAAGTAATCCTTATACTTCAGAGTAAGCAGCTTCAGAATTTTGTATATTCCCAAATGATCATGTTTCTTTTTAATTTATAAATATAAGTTGACTTTTTCCAATAACTTGTTCTAGTATACAAGAAATACATTTTGTTCATAGATTCTTTCTATGTTATCAATGTTTCTTTTTAACAGGGCTTTCTTGAGACAGATTTAAGAGAATCAGGAATCGAAGTGCCTAAATCTCAACATGCCTCAACATTTACAAACAAAAAGGACAGAGTTTTTTTCTAAGGAGGGTGCTGACAGATTTACATGTAAAAGGACAGCATTTATACTAAACCAACCAACAGTATACTGATTTGCAAAAGAAAAAGGATCAAAATTGTTTTTTACTCATTGGATTTTTTCTGGTTTATGATAAAAACCTGTGTTGCTCATTTATAATAAAACCTGTCATGATACAAAAACCCAAAGACAATGACATATTTCAATGTTTAAGGGAGCTACCATTTGATTTGTATGGGGGGGCTAGGATGAAATTTGAAAAAAATAGGCAGGACAGGAGTTTTGAGTAAAAAAAAGACAGGATGAGATTATTTGCAAAAAAAAAAGGCAGGATGACAATTTATGTAAAAAAAAAGTCAGGATAAACTAAAAAAAAAAGGCAGGACCGAATAGAGTGAAAAATAAAAAGGCAGGACCGAGTAGAGTGAAAAATAAATAGGCAGGACAAAATTTTTTATCCTAGCCCCCCCCCATAAAAATCAAATGGTAGCTCCCTAACAATAAATTTACATATGAGCAGTATGAGATTTAATTTTTAGTATTATTTTGTTTAAAGAAAGATGTAGTGATACTAAATGGAAGTAATATTTGTATAGGCCTTATAGTTTAACCAAAGAATGTCATAGTAATTTCCAACCCTCAAAATCATCTGCACACATATCTTATTTTATTGATTTGATATCATAATTGGATTGAGGGGTTTTCTCATACATATAACATTTTTTAAAAGGTATCTTAATATTTGATTTTCTTTAGAATTATTATATTCATATGCTTCTTTGCAATGAACAATTGATATCAGCTTTTAATGCAATTATTTTTGTTCATTATTTAGTTGCAATTCAAATGTATTTCTCATTTTATATTTATGGCAATCTTTGTTTTTCATTCAGTCATTGATGTCAGAATTAAACTTTTTAAAATGCCTTTTACATGAGGAAACCTCATCTCCACTTCTTGGAAACTTTAATTTTGCAAGGCAGCAAATGAATAGACTTGATTAATTAAAATTTATCAATGAATAAACTATGTGAAATTAAAATATTCTTCTAGAGATTTTTGGATTATTCCCCTTTGATTAAAAAAACAAATTGAAATTAATTTTTTTTTTTGCTGTTTAATGGATAATTATTCTATTTACATTTAATGCAACTTTATATTATCTGCAAAGCAAAATGTCACATACCCTATCCTTTGCAAAAACTGCTGTGATGTAGATCATAGCTCCAAGAGGCATGATATTGTTTTATTTAAATAGGCAGTTTAAGTACTTTTTAACTTGTATACTTTGATAAATTAAATGATATTGTCGTTTTTGTTTTTTTTTGTTTATGGTTGTGTTTTTTTGTAATTCATTATTTTGCTAAGTTAAATTTAAGGCATTATTGGAGTATAAACTAAAAATGATAGAACTTTTTCATGCTTTGCAAAAATGAAGTATATATTGTGATATGTTCAAAAATATTATAAGAATGATGGGTCACCAAGCTTTTTTTTAAGCTACAGGTTGTGAAAAAATGAAACTTTTTGTATGGATCATCCAAAGAAAAAGTATTATTAACAGAAGGTAAACTAAATGATAGAATTTTTAAATAATATTTGAGAATATAGCTTTTGTAAAATGCTTTCAGATTATATTTTTTAACTCATTAGCAATAAATTTGTACACATACAAAAGGTGCGTTTGACAGAAAAATAAAAGGTTTCAGTATAGTAAGTATGAAATGAAAGATGATTGTATGTTAATTATCATGTGATCACTACACATAAGACAATTTTTGTTATTCTTCATGTGTTGAGTAGGTTTAGTGAGCTGTTATGTATAAAACTTGGTCCAAACTTTATTCTGCTTTGAATTAAATATTTAAACATCATTGTTATTACATGAAGTGAGATTATAGTGCAATTTTATCTAGAATATTGAAACTCATAGATTGGTTTTCTTTTTTATCAAAACCTTATAGTATGATCAAAAACTATATAAGAATTCATGACAAATATTAAAGTGCAATAGACACTTATTGATAAGTGTTTTGATTGAAAGAGAAGCAATAAAGAGGTGATGCAATATGTAGTACACTTGATGTTATGTGTACTATGGGATTATTGACTGAAAGTTTATTGGCATTTTATATTTCTCTGGTTGATGACATTCAATTTGATATTTCCTATGTAGGTTATTTTTAGTATAAATCAGGAGTATATTCAATTTCTTTGAAGAAAAACAATAACATACAAGCATTTGAAATGTTTTAAAGGTGTTTATAGTTGTATAGTGTAGAGACATTTGTTTTTTTTTTTCTTAATTTTTCCAATGAAATTTGCACTTGATTTTTTCAAGAAAGAGATATATGCTCATGTACGAATTTAAAAAATTGCTTCATTTTTTTCTCTAGCTGCTCTCCTTGTTAAGTTGTTAGTTTTACAAAACCATATCAAATAACATTCCCCTGTATTAAATCTATTTTGCTTTTTAGATCTTTTTAAACCAATTATTTTCTGCTTTTAAAGCTTTTGCATTATGCATAATGTATGATCAGATGATTCAGCTCAAGATCCTTGAAAACTATTTAACAACAAAATTATATATAATTTTCTTGTGAAAAGAATATTTTCTAGTACATGCTAAGTATGTTTGTAAACTTCTTGTGCTGATCAAGTTATGCAATGCTTGTTTTTATTATTGTTTATCCAAAGTGTTAGGGCGTTAAGCCAGGTAATAATGTAATAAAGTACCTGACTGCAATTATATGATATTTTTGTCTACTGACATTATATGTAACTTCTTGGGAAAGGTTTAGTTTTTGGTGACTCATTTTGTTGGTTTGAACAAATTTGTTGTTTTTAAGATATGCTGTTAAGGTTTGGTGTAGATAACTACTGACCATGCTGTTAAGGTTTGGTTTAGATAACTACTGACCATGCTGTTAAGGTTTGGTGTAGATAACTACTGACCATGCTGTTAAGATTTGGTGTAGATAACTACTGACCATGCTGTTAAGGTTTGGTGTAGATAACTACTGACCATGCTGTTAAGGTTTGGTGTAGATAACTACTGACCATGCTGTTAAGGTTTGGTGTAGATAACTACTGACCATGCTGTTAAGATTTGGTGTAGATAACTACTGACCAATTAGAGACCATATACATACTGTTTTAGAACAGACACTTAAATTTGTTGACAAATTTGGTGTAATTGTTGATTTTCCCTATCTTTTTCAAAATTATATATATCAATAATTTGCCGTATTTATTTGTTATTTTTTTGTATCTTCTCCACTATGTGTTTTATTTTTGTTGTCATTTGATTCATGATTTCAAGTAAGAATGTAAAGCAATAAATGGTTTTTTTTTTAATGTTGCAAATGTGATATGTGTATCACTGGATAAATGGAATGATTTACATGTATGTTAAAATTAAAGTCATATGAAACTTCAAATTTAAAAAAAAAGTTTAACATGTTTTATATACTTGAATACTATAAAACAAGTGTTAGTTAACTTTCTTGTAAAAGAAGATCCTTTATATTATCAAAATCTTCATAAATGTACTGCTATTGAATTATTGTCTTCCTATACACTAATTCGCTGATATTTTTCCGCATGCAGTGACCTTAACTATGAAACCTCTTGTTAGAACTTCGGCCATCGCTGAGGTTCACAGCGCAAGTGAGAGGGGGAAACCATGATTAAAAAATGTAAACAAACATGCACTGGAAGGTAAATAGTAATAACTGATTCTTAAAGAACAAATTTAATACAACAAATCATTTAACAACTGTTAAGGAAAAGTTTAATAAACAAATGGGAACATATTGAAAGTATATTTTTTTTATCTCATGGCTATATCTGTTCACTTATTTGTCACGAGCTCTACATGCTCTGTGTTGATTGTTTATCAATGTCACGATCCGGAAAAACCTCGGCAACAAACTCGAAAATTAATTAGCTTGTGATCAACAACCACTGAATGAACTATTATTTGTCGATAATACATTATAGATTTGTAATAGACAAGAAAACAGTGCATACAGGACTTAGTTTAGTATATATGCATGTATTGGTTCAATAATTTTGATAACATTGAAATTACAAGAAACTTGTTTCATATGATTTTAAGTAGTGCTATAATTATAATTTATTTCATATAATTTACATGATTTATATTATTCAATAAAAAATAAATCAATATAATTTATTTTCCTTTAAATATGAACAAGCTGTTGCAGACAATGACCTACATAGTATGAGGACCCAATCCTTGTTGGACTTTGATCAAAAATAATTTGTTCAGTGGGTTTAAAAACATTCAAAGTATTGTCAAACAGGAAGTGACTTTCAAACTCAGGGAAGTTTATCAACTCACTAGTCTACATCTCGTCTTAGGGCTTTTGCCATTCAATGATGTTGTATCAGAGAAACTCCCTCTTGTTTTGAAAACTATAGATGATCTTTAAATATTTAGGAGTAATAAACATCTTTATATTTGATAAATACTATATTATATTTAGTAATTACATTGCTCCCATTTATTTATTGAACATCAGCTTGTCAATATATTGTATATTGACCAGATGATTTATGAACATCCACAAAGAATGTTTTGAAAAAGAATTCCAAATTTTGTTTCAGTAAAAAAGCATTAAAAAATCAGACAAATATATTTCCAAGATATCAGTAATATTGGTCTATTTTCCAACTGAATTTAAATGTTTTGAAATATTTTTGGTGTCATTTGCACCAAACACTGAAACATTAGAAATTACAGAAAATATGAAACCTTGTTGTTTCATTACAATAATTGATGTCAAATGACTATTTTTTATACGACCGCAAAAACATTTTGCAGTTGTATATTGGTATCACGTTGTCATCGTCATCCGAAGACAGTTGGTTTCCGGACAATAACTTTAGTATAATTAAATAGAAATCTATGAAATTTAAACACAAGGTTTATAACCACAAAAGGAAGGTTGGGATTGACCTTTGGGGTTATGATCCTAACAGTTTAGGAAAAAGGGACCAAAAAGGGGCCCAAATAAGCATTTTTCTAGTTTCCAGACAATAACTTGTTGAACGGTGTATGGATCACCCTGAAATTATATCACAAGTTTCCATACCACAAAGGGATGGTTAGGATTGGCTTTGGGGGGTTATGGCTCAAACTGTTTAGGAATTAGGGGAAAAACAAGGGTGTCCTGGTTAATGGACAATAAATTTTGTATAAAACATAATTTAAAACAGTGTAAGGGAGGTAATTCAAACTTATCATTTGAATTACCTCCCTTACTTTTACACTGCTTTTAAATTATGGTAAATGAACAATTACTTAAGACAATTTAAAAGCAGTGTAAGGGAGGTAATCCAAACACAACCTTTTGATTACCTCCCTTACACTGCTTTTAAATTATGTTTAAAGAAATGCATATTTATAAAGGAAGACTAGTAAAAATATCTGCAACTGTTGCATCTTTTTTTTTTACAAAAAAAATCCATATGAAAGATTTGACACCATATTTTAAATTCTATTATAAAATAGATTAAGTTAGCACTATGGTAAATTTAAATGGGTAATTATGGTTGCAAACTCCATTAGAAATTTGAATTGAGATTATGACCATATCTTGAAGGAAAGATTTTTATGGGGGGAAAAGGGGAGGGGGTAAAAAGAAATTGTGGGGGGGGGTCAATTTTTTTTCATTTCAGATTTCAGAAATTAGAAGAAAATTTCTTCAAGTATTTATTTTTTTTGCAAAAAAAGGTCTGTGGGGGGGGGGGGGGGGGGGGGGGGGGTAGTGGTGTGTTTATACGCAACAGCATAGTGTATTGCATAAAAGCAAAAATAAAAATGGGGGTTAATTTTTTTTTTTTTTTGTGGGGAGAGGGGGGTCAATTCGCAACAGCAAAGTGTATTTATTGCACTAAAGCAAAAAATTGAATATAATTTCAAATCATATAACCAATTCTAAGTTCTTTGACTACAGTTATTCTGAGTCAGAAACCTTTTATGTGTCAAATATTTAATTACAATCCAAATTCAGACCTGTATCAAGTGCGAATATTGTGTCCATTTTTACCCCAACTGTTCAGGGTTGGACCTCTGCTGTCCAATCAGCTGTGCTCGGCGAAGCAATTTATTTTATTTTATGGAAAGTTTGGTCATCTCCAAAAAGCAATATGTTTTGCTTCTGTCTAATTACTTTTTGTGAGATGACTGCTCTGTTCATAAACTGCCATATGAACCTCAGTGCCATGAATTTGTTTATTGTTTCCGTTTTTTTTAATGTTTCAGTGTTTGGTGCCAATGGCACCAAAAAAATTTCAAAACATTTAAATTCAGTTGGAAAGTAGATCAATATTACTGATATCTTGGAAATATATTTGTGATTTTTATGCCCCCAACGTAGTGGAGGGGGCATTAAGTTTTACCCTTGTCCGTCCTCTAACTTTAGTTTGCCTCAACCAAATGTTATGAACCTTATACACAATACTTATTACCACAAAACACAGATCAAGTTTGAATTTTGGTGGCATCACTTTACTGTTCTAGAGCTTTGCCCCTTTAAAAAAAATGGAAAAATTGCTGAATTTTTCGTTTCCGTTCTCTAATTTTAGTTTGCCTCAACCAAATGTTATGAAACTTTATACACAATGCTTATTACCACAAAACACAGATCAAGTCTGAATTTTGCGGTCGTATATTGGTATGACATTGGCGTCGTCGTCCGAAGACACATTGGTTTTCGCATTCTAACTTTAGTTTAAGTGAATGGATCTCTATGAAATTTTACCATAAGGTTCAATACCACAAAAGGAAGGTGGGGATTGATTTTGGGGGTTATGGTACCAACAGTTAAGGAATTAGGGGCCAAAAATAAGCATTTTTGTAACTTCTAGACATAACTTGTGTGTAAGTGTATGGATCTCTCTGACATTGTACCACAAGGTTCCATATCACAAAGGGAGTGCTGGGATTGATTTTGGGGGTAATTGCCTCCAAATTTTAGGAATTAGGGGCAAAAAAGGGGCAAAAAACAAGCATTTTTCTAGTTTCATGACAATAACTTGTGTGTAAGTGTATGGATCTTTATGAAATTGTACTACAAGGTTCAATATCACAAAGGGAAAGGTGGACTTGAGTTTGGGGGTAATTGCCCAAAACGTTTAGGAATAAGGGGCCAAAAATAAGCATTTTTCTAGTTTCCAGACAATAACTTGTGTTCAAGTGTATGGATCTCTCTGAAATTGTATTGCAAGGTACCATACCACAAAGGGAAGACTGGGATTGATTTTGGGGGTAATTCCCTCAAAATTTTAGGAATTAGGGGCCATAAAAGGGCAAAAAAACAAGCATTTTTCTAGTTTCAGGACAATAACTTGTGTGTAAGTGTATGGATCTTTATGAAATTGTACTGCAAGGTTCCATATCACAAAGGGAAAGCTGGACTTGAGTTTGGGGGTAATTGCCCTAAACGTTTAGGAATTTGGGGCCAAAAAGGGGCCAAAAAACAAGCATTTTTCTAGTTTCCAGACAATAACTTGTGTTCAAGTGTATGGATCTCTCTGAAATTGTACTGCAAGGTACCATTACACAAAGGGAAGGCTGGGATTGAGTTTGGGGGTGATGAATCATAAGGGGGTTTAAAAAAATTTGGGGGGGAATTTTTTTTCCTTTTTTTCTTTAAAATTTTCCATTTTAAATTGGTTATTTCTGATTTATATATAAAAGCAAATAATAATGATATGGTTTGAATAGGTAAATTAAAAAAATTTAAGTTCTTAGACCACATTCATTCTGTGTCAGAAACCTATGCTGTGTCAAATATTTAATTACAATCCAAATTCAGTGCTGTATCAAGCTTGAATGTTGTGTCCATACTTGCCCCAACTGTTCAGGGTTCGACCTCTGCGGCTGTATCAATCTGCGCCCCAGCGGAGCATTTTATTAAAATTGGAGTTATCTTCCTTTGTCCATGATTATAGTTGAATCAACTACAATCAATGCTTTATTCAATGCAATGTTTAATTTTGACTTCCACTGATAAAACATAGATCAAGTTGAATTTGGGTAGTGTCACTTTAATCATTATTGAGTTATGCCCCTTTATAGATTGAAAGATTGCAAAATTTTTAGTTTCCATTCTGTAACTTAAGTTTGCCCCAACCAAACATTATGAAACCTATACACAATATTCATTACCACAAAACTAAGATCAAGTACAAATTTTTTGTTTCCGTTTTCTAACTTTAGTTTGCCTCAACCAAATGTTATGAAACTTATACACAATGCTTATTACTACATAATACAGATTATGTACGAAATTTGGTGGCAACACTTTTACCATTCTTGAGTTATGTCCCTTTATAAACATAAAAATTGCTGAATTTTTCGTTTCCGTTCTCTAACTTCAGTTTGTCTCAACCAAATGTTATAAAACTGTTCTAGAGTTATGCGTGTTTACAAATAGAAAAATTGCTGAATTTTTAGTTTCTGTTCTCTACTTAAGTTAGCCTCAACCAAATGTTATGTGACTTAAACACAATGCTTATTACCACAAAACTCAGATCAAGTTCAAATTTGGGTAGCGTCACTTTTACCGTTCTTCAGTTATGTCCCTTTATAACTATATGATATGCAAGCGGGGGCATCATCTGTGTCCACATGTGGACACTATCCACATTTATTTAAAGCTTTTTTACTGAAACAAAATTTGGAATTCTTTTCCAAAACATTCTTATATATCTCATGGGTAAATTCAAATACAAAATGTAAAAATGCAAAAAAAAAAGATATGAAGGATCATTGCTTTAATGTTTGAACAGTGGGAAAATAAGCATATAATAGGTACTAAAGAAGAATAAAAGAATAAATAATTGATATAAAATCCAACATAGGAATATAACCAAAAATGATACAAAACAATAAAAAAACAATGACATCTAAAAAAAAAACAATCTTGGAGAACAATCTAAAATAGTAGTAATGGTGAAATACCACTATGTACACAGTCTGAACATGACCAATGGGTTTGTTCCTTGAATAACTAAATGATAATAATATAACATTGTGATAATTTGACTAGAATATAGTTTGGTTGATGTTACAGTGGTTCATATTCTAGGTACATCAGTTCTCAAATCCTTGAACTTTGTCAGTTTAGACACATTTTTACTCTATGAATTAGTTATATTCC